GCCTCGGCCTCCCAAAGTGCTGGGATTACAGGCTTGAGCCACCGCGCCCGGCCTGGTGGAAAAACTTTCACATACTTCTCTCCCTCTGGATAGGAGGAGGAAGAGTCACACCTGGTGTAGCTGAGTGACATGAGCCCTGGAGGCTCCATAAGCCACCCAGCAAGCAAGGCCTCACCTCTGAGTCGGAGTCTGATGAACTGGAGCTGGAGGAGCTGGAAGAGTCGCTGGAGCTGTCGGAGGCTATCCCCGTGGACTCCTGAAGGTCAACTGAGTCTGCCAGGACTGCCAACTCGGGGTGCTCTTGCTTCAAGATCCTGAGAGGCAAGAAGTGTTGTTCTCAGTGTACTGACAGAGAACAATACCCACTCACAAGGACTCACACTGAGAGCTGAGACCTGTTATCTCTCAGAAACACCTGGAAATACCAGGTGTGTCAGTTCAGAAAGGCTACTGTATAATGGTGAGGACAAAACCCCAGGCTGGGAACAAGAGAAGCCCAATACGGTGCAAGGAAAACTGCATACTAACTACACACAATTTACTACCACCTGCACAAATGAGCCAGCCATGCCACCAACACACAAGGCACAATTTTCCTTAAGTTAGTCTTAGTTTTATTCCCTGGGGAGAAATGGTTCCTCTTCCTAGTTTTATTTCCTGAACCTTTCCCAGCTGATTTTTAAAAAACCTTTCCTTTCCACAGCACAGCACATAACGATTGGAATTGGGTTGGTTAGATTCTATTTCTAAGAGTAGAAACAATTAGGTTTGTAGGAAATACGAGGTGTCAAATAACAGAGATGCCCCCCCTCACTTGGATCGTAAAACAGAACTGGACTTCAGAGCAGCAGCCCTCCCCTTCAGGAACCTCATCTGGCAGCCACTGTAACCGGTGGCAAAAGACCTGTTGTATGGTAAGGCCTGCAGTGTGACCAAATCACAGCACGCAGTGGCCCACGGGGTGGGGTAAGTGGGCTCAGATGCCCAAGAGTCCAGGGAGAACAGAAGCCACCACCCTTACTGGCCCTCTCAGCAGGGAGGCTGAGCATGGAACAAGCCAGAATCCCTCTCTTACCCCGAGAGCTGGTCCCTCCAGGTCAGGGTTGGGACACAGTGGCACGGGGTGGCTGTGGGTGGCGTGCACTGCCGCTGCCCGTGCTGTATCTGTTCTGTGGATAAACAGAGGAGCTAAGTCTCCAGGGCAGTCACCTCGCTCACAAGAACTGAAGGGATTAAGTTCAAATGGGAATAATGCTTCTGGGTAAGAAAAAGAAACAACCCAAATAAAACCCAAATAAAGTAATTTATTTAGCTAGCACTAGCTTTGAAAAAAACAAAAAACAAAATGAAACGAGAAACAATCCCAACGATGATCATGTTTGACTGAGTGGCTTGGATTCAACATGCAGAGTCTCACCCTGCCACCTTGAGGCCGGCAAATACCCTGAGGACTCGCCCTGACCTTGGTCCCTCTTTCCTCTACCCAGAAGATTGGCAGCCCCCGCTTGCCCCAGGCCTGTCTACGATCGGCACACGGCATTGCAGCCGTTTCATCTCTGGGGTAAAAATTGAAACCAGGCAGAAAGAAGAAAAAATGACTCTCACCTATACCACTTCCTTGACAGCTTTGGTCTCCCTCTTACCGTCTTGTGCCATACCACAGGGAAGTTGGTGCTGCTGGCAAAATTTTGGGTGATGGCGATAGTAGTGTCGAGATTGAGGACAACATGCCACCAGCCTCCTGAAATCCAACAAATAAACAGCTAAACAAGGTTTCATCCTATACCCAAGTACTGTGTCACACACACCAGAAACTGGGAACCCTATCCCTAAGGGAGAGCCTACAGAGACATGATACAGGGTAGTAAACATTCCTTCTGACTCAGGGATTGCAAACAGCTTGTCTGTGTCAATAAAGTTTTATCAGATCACAGCCATGCACATCTATTGACGTATTGTCTAGGGCCGCTTTCCTGCTACATGGGCAGAGTTGAGTAGTTGTGACAACCTGGCTTATAGTGCCTAAAATATTTACTCTCTGGCCCTTTACAGAAAAAGTCTGTTTACTCCTGTTAATCCAAAGCTGTGATCAAAAGTGGAAAAGCATAAAGTTCTTCAGCGTCTAGGAAGAGGACACCCACTTTAAATACTCTCTTCCATTCACTTACCAATGTGCAGTTGTCTGGTGTGGGATTTCCTGACTCAACCCAGACAGTGCCATACTGCATCAAAAACCCAATTTAGGCTGGGCTTGGTGGCTTACACCTATAATCCTAGCACTTTGGGAGGCTGAGGCGGGAGGCTTGCTTGAACCCAGGAGGCCACCCTGAGCAACACAGTGAGATCTCCAACTCAATTTACAGAATTGAACCCTGACCAGGCGCAGGAAGCTGACAGTAATATTGGGTGGCTCACGCCTGTAATCCTAGCACTTTGGGAGGCTGAGGCGGGTGGACTGCCTGAGGTCAGGAGTTTGAGACCAGCCTGGGCAACACAGTGAAACCCCAATATCTACTAAAATACAAAAATTAGCCGGGCGTGGTGTTGTGTGCCTGTCATCCCAGCTATTGGAGAGTTTGAGACAGAAGAATTTTGTGAACTCAGGAGCTGGAGGTTGCAGTCAGCTGAGATCACCCATTGCACTCCAGCCTGGGTGACAGAGTGAGACTCGTCT